TAGACCTGGCAATTCGTGTATACGGGTCCATTAACGGGTCGACACGATAACGACACGAACACGATAAGGCTAAACACGGACACGACACGTTAAGGTTAACGGGTTCAAATTCTTAACACGAACATGAACACGATTTGTTAACGGGTTAAACGGGTTGACACGATAGACATGTTTCGTTAACAGGTTTCAAGTCGTGTCGACACGATATGACACGAACCCGTTTAAACCCGCTATTTCTATTAATATATTTAAAAAAAAATTAAAATTTAAAGTTAAGTTCTATATATTAAAAAAAAAAAAAAAAAAAAAAAACTAAAGTTCAATCTATTAAAGAAATTTAAAAATATTCAATTCATAACATTCATAAAATGATAAAATAACATCCAAAAATTATAATTAAAAGAGTCCACACTAGTTTTTAGAATAAAATTGAACATAATAAAAATTCAAATTTTAAATTGTTGAACATCAATAATTGGTGTATAGGATCTTGACCTAATGTAGTAAATTAATCCTTAGTAATGTTCATAATATCTTTTGTAATCTCATTAATGACAATGGTTCTTAGCGGGTTATAAACAGATTGGGTAAACGGGTTCGTGTTAACGGGTTAACACGATAATATTAACAGGTTAAACGGGTTCTTAATAGGTTTAACGGGTTGACCCGTTAAGACACGAAACAGAACGGGTCCTTAACGGGTCGACCCGTTAACGACCTGGGACACATTAAGACTAAACACTAACCCGTTATTTTCGTGTCCGGTTTCGTGTCGTGTTAACGGGTCGTGTCGATAATTGCCAGGTCTAGTCTTACCGTGGTTTAGTTGCTAATTGGCAATATTATTTATATTTTCCTGTCTTTCTCATTTAGTTTATTTGCGTTTCTGTTGTTAGGTTGATGCGTGTGTGTTGTTTGGTTGGTGCGTGAACCAAGCGATTCTTGAGCAAGAAGGTTTAATTAAAATTAGATGACCTAAAAATTGATTGAGAACTGGATCCATGTGTAAATTAATTTAGTTCTAGATACAGACATTTGCTTTGGAACGTTGTGCATTTTTGGCAATGGAACTTTGCCTCATGTGGTCCTTGTCTTTTTTTTAGATTTGTTATTTACACTGGTGTGTGCATTTTTATGGTATGGCGTGTGCAAATTTTTGACAATGGAACTTTGTATCATGCGGTCTATTGTACACGTCATAACACTCCAATGCACACACCAAATACAAAAAACAAAAGCATATGAAGAAATAGGCATGTGCATATCGTTTGTACAAAAAACAAAAGCATATAAAGAAATAGGTCTGTGCATATGAAGAAATAGGCCTGTGTAAAAAAAAAAAGGCGTGTGCATGATAGTAGCGTACGCATGTGCGTAGGTGCTGGGATTTTCAAACACATGATAATATTAAGTGGAACTGGAGGACACATCTTTATTACGAAAATGTTAAGGTCGAAATTCAAAAACTAACACCAACTACTTGGAAAGGGGAACCAAAGCCAGAAACCCCAGCTAACGTATCGGACTCCAAAGTCAGGCCCAGGAGGTCATCATGGAGCTCTATAAAGTGGGTCATGTCCTCCAAAGCTCTAGCTAACGCATCGGACTTCTCAACATATATCGCAGCCACAGTCTGCAACATTAAAAAATTGTGTTCATATTACAATGCATCCACCCCTTTACATCCCCCTGTTTATACTATAATGCATTAACCTCCTACCCCATACGCACATAGCATACTTGTAAAAAAAATTTAAAAAAAAAACAGCAAGCTACATTACCAGCAAGAATCCAACCTCATTGCAAAAAAAAAAAAAAAAAAAAAAAAAACACATTACGAAACAAACACAAACTGAACCCCATTACGCACAAACACATACTAATTAAAGCTACACCATATTTACACTGTACTGCATTCATCGCCTAACCCCTACGCACATAGCATACTTGAAAAAACAACTTGAACTATTTTATCGGCAAAAATCTAACCTCAGCATAATAAAAAATCCCAATACGAAACAAAACACACACAGACTAGTTACAACACCATTAGCATGACCACCAATCCCTACCCCCCCCCCCACCCCCCCCCCACAAAAAAAAATACACTAGTCACAGACTATGTACGCACAAACCCATAGTAAATAAAGCTACAACAAGGGTATACTATACTGCATTCACCTCTAACCCCCTACACACATAGCGAAATTGGAAAAAAAAAAGATATACACAGTAATACCAACAAATACCCAAACAATATTTCCAGTACATTACAAATACTATAATGCATTAACCTCCTACCCCATACACACATAGCATACTTGTAAAAAAAAAAAAAAAAAAAAAAAAAAAACAAGCTACATTACCAGCAAGAATCCAACCTCATTGAAAAAAAAAAAAGACCCCATTACGAAACAAACACAAACCGAACCCATTACGCACAAACCCATACTAATTAAAGCTACACCATGTTTACACTGTACTGCATTCACTGCCTAACCCCTACGCACATAGCATACTTGAAAAAACAATTTGAACTATTTTACCGGCAACAATCTAACCTCAGCATAATATAAAAAAACACCAATACGAAGCAAAACACACACAGACCAGTTACAACACCATTAGCATGACCACCAACCCCCTACCCCCCACAAAAAATGCACTAATCACAGACTATGTACGCACAAACCCATAGTAAATAAAGCTACAACAAGGGTATACTATACTGCATTCACCTCTAACCCCCTACGCACATAGCGAAGTATAAATCAGAATGCTTGCTTGTTTCAATGAAAGTATAAATCAGAATGCTAAAACACATAATTGAGGTTCAAACTCACCGTAAAATAACATCACAGCCTTTCAAGAAGAATGCTTGCTTGTTTCTCATGTTCCATCAAGAAACCACAACTGTAAAAGTAATACTCTCATCATAATTTACAGAGAATTATGAAGGCTTTAAAGATGCCCAGCACTCTATCCAAACAACAAAACCAATTTGCCAGTCCAAATGATAAAACCCTCGCCACCCAAGCATAACAAAACAGTTGCTATTCCAAGAAACGGTACGAAAGATCAAATCTTTTCACCTAATTTTAACTTTGGGACTTTGGGTCCAGGAGAAAAGTGATATTTAGTAGATACAGAGCAGGATTGCGTAAAATAATGATATTAATTTGGGGGGAAAGAAAAGATAATTTGACAGAAAGGAAATTACTCCGTACTTGTGAAGAGCGTCTTTGAGATCGAAAGTGGCCTCTTTTGCCTCCTGGAGAGAAGGGGCGTCACCAAAGACGAGTCTCGGGAGCGGCTCACCAGCGGCGACCGTCTCCTCCTCGTCTCCACCGGCAAATTCCCAGCCATCGAGCTCCTGGCATGGCCATTGCACGGGTGCTCCATCCATGAAAACGGAATCAAAATACAACCAGTACGAACAAACCTGAAATGCGGCAAACGCGGATTCACTAACGGTTTCTGGACGATAAAATCCTCCCTCCGCTACTTGCTTCGCTTCCAAATATTCTTGAGATCTGCTACGCGAGATGAGGAGGAGAGAAAGCGCAAGGTATTACAGGAAACTGCGGCTGAGATGAGAGGGTTGAAGACGAAGAAGACGAAGGGTTGAAAACTCACGCAGATTCCCAGACGAAATTAAATACATGCTATAATTAAAGCCATTGCGAAATTACAAAACAAGCCCTAATGTCCTCACAAAGCTGATGCACGTGGCAAAAAAACACAAATCATCTGGACCATTCATCTAAACTAATTAAGGGTCAGAAAAGGTGCTCACGAGCTCATCTGCCAAGGGGGTGTGTACCGGATCCAAAATCTATATATATATATATATATATATATATATATATATATATATATATATATATATATATATATATATATATATATATATATATATATATATATATATATATATATATATATATATATATATATATATATATATATATGAGAAGGTTCAAGTGAGAACAAGCTACCAAGTAAAAAATGAGGATTATATTGATCTGATTCATCCATTTGGGTAGAGACGACTGAAGATTACTGAAAAATAAAGAAAAATGGCAGGGTCATTTTTATAAATATTACAAACTTTAAAGTTTACAATAATTATAAAATTGACTCATATTTTTTTAAACTAAAACCTCAAACCTGTGATGAATCGTGATGGGAAGTCAAAATCAATCCGCACTTTTTTACATAAAGGGGTTCTTCTCATTTGACACACACACACCACTTCCCCCATGAGACCCAATATGGATGCACAAAAGCTACTACACAAATGCACAGAAACTACTCCAGGGTAGATTGTGTGCATTGTATGGCTGGAATTTTAGATTGTGTGCATTCCTTTACAAGTCTCATGTGAATGAAAAGTGTGCAATTCCATTTACAATTATGTGCACATTAGGGTTGTTGATAGTGGGAGTGGTGGAGGGGATGAGGTGGTGTGAACGGATGAGTCGTGTTAGTAATGTTATTATTTGTTATTATTATTTGCAATCCTAAGTCTAGTCATATCATGTATTAGAATAAGTCTAATATGACTAGGCTATTAGTTAGGAGATAATAGTGGCTTAGTTTAATATACTCTCCTGTATCTCTGTTCTGTTTGAACTGAATAACATTTGTTTCTCTAATCTGGTATCAGCCAAACGTCGATCCATTCTCTCTCTCTCCTTTGTTTCTCTGTTTCGACACACTATCACCGTAAAACTCCCACCACCACCGCAATGTCGTCTAATTCCTCCGAGAGAACAATGTCCGCCGGCGGTGGGTCATCCCCGTCCGGTAACAATCCCCTTACGGGCGCTCATCACTTCATCTCTATGAAGTTGACGTCCCGAAATTTTTTATTTTGGCGTACCTAGCTTGTTCCGTTTCTTCACGGACAGGACCTGCTTGGCTTTGTGGATGGCACCTCACCGTGCCCGCCTCCCACCATCGCAACAACGACCGGCACCTCCGATTCCGGTGCAACAATGGCGGCCCCAACCCCAAATCCGGCGCACAAAGCCTGGGTTCAACAGGATCAGTCGATCCTTTCCCTTCTCATCTCGTCAATGTCTGACGAGGTTCTTCACCTGGCTGTTGGGCGCAACACGGCTGCAGAAGTATGGTAATCCATCTGCACGGCTCTCGGCTCCAGTACCCAAGCAAGATGCCTGAGCTTGCTCGGGCAGTTTCAGTCCTTGCGGCAAGGAGGCACGCCGACATCGGACTATCTCGGCAAAGCCGAATTACTTGTGGAAGCTCTCGCACAGGCTGGGCAACCCCTCTCCCTATGCGAACAAAATCTTTATGTTCTACGGGGGTTGCGCCCGGAGTATCGTGCCTATGTCGCGTCCCTCACCGCCAATACGCCGATATCTCTGCCGCAATTGGCGGATTATTTACAGGCCGCGGACGTCATTCTGGCCGATGACTATCTGCAGGTTGGTGATGGCGTTCCAGCAGCGTCACACTCAGCCATGTACGCAGGGCGTGGACGCGCTGGGCAAGGCAGCGTGCAGGGCAATCACGGCGGTTCGGGCAGTGGCGGACGCCGTGGTCGCGGGGGCCGGAACAGCAACGGTGGACGCGGACGTGGTGGCCGGGGACCTCCACGTTGTCAGATTTGTCGGGCAACGGGGCATACCGCAATTTACTGTTATAAGCGGTATACCACTCAACCCCCGGCGCAGGCAAATGTAGCGGTTTCGGGCGATGTACCTTCGATTCCTGTACCACCGGCCGATGCATGGTATCCCGATACGGGTGCCACCGCGCATGCCACACCGGATGCCGGGATGTTGACAAACTCGGAGGACTATGATGGTGCTGACACTCTCAGAGTTGGAAACGGGGCAGGTTTGGCGATCTCACGAATAGGCCATACATCTATCCCATCTAAATCTAAACACTTATTCCTGTCAAACGTGTTACATGTTCCTACATTAACTGTCCCGTTATTATCTGTACAAAAATTCGCTAGTGATAATGCGGTTTATTTTGAGTTCCATAACAATTATTTCTTTGTGAAGGATTCCAAAACCAAGGCCATACTTCTTAAGGGGTCTACAGCTGGCGGTCTGTACAAGCTTCCTGTGTCACGGAGTCAGTTTGCTTTTGTCACTTCTCGTGCAACGCCCACAGTCTAGCATCGCAGGCTCGGACATCCTCATGCCGTAGTTCAAAATAAAATTCTACAAAGCTGCCCGGTTGAGTCAAATAATGTCAAAAATATTGAGTCATGTAAGGCTTGCCATCTCGAAAAGTCATCTCGTTTTAAACTAGAAAATATTTCAAGTTCGAGTCACAAGGTATTAGACTTACTTTATACATATATATGGGGTCCCGCACCTGTAGTATCGTCTAGTGGTTATAGGTACTTTATACTATTCGTAGACGATTTCACTCGTTTCTGCTGGTTTTATCTATTACGGGTAAAATCAGACATTTATAAAGTTTTTGATGTTTTTCGTGTGTTGGTAGAGCGGCAATTTTCGCGCTCTATCAAATCTATTCAGTTCGACTTAGGGGGTGAATACCGAAAATTAAGTGTCACGTTTCAATCTTTAGGTATTAATCACAGGCAGTCGTGTGCTTACACGCACGAGCAGAACGGGAGAGTTGAACGCCGTAACCGCCATATTGTGGAAACCGGGTTAGCTCTCCTCGCCCAAGGCAACGTCCCACAACAATATTGGGATTTTGCTTTTGAAACTGCCACTTTCCTAATTAATTACCTACCAACCAAAGTTCTAAATTTCGAAAGTCCGTACTCACGTCTCTACAAAAAGCCTCCACCATATCAATTCCTTCGTATCTTCGGGTGTCAGTGTTACCCCTATCTTCGGCCTTATAATCGGCACAAGATAGAGTACCGCTGCACCCCTTGTGTCTTCCTAGGTTACCCACCGTCCTATAGGGGGTACAGATGTATGGATCTATCTAGTGAGAAAACCTATATCTGCCGCCATGTGCGGTTTGACGAATGTGTGTTTCCTTTTACAGGTACGATGCAACAGGTCCCGTCGCCCAATCCATTACCATGGGCTTCTGGTCCTGTTGTCCCGCTGCTACAACCTCCTGTTTGTGAAACTGGGCCACCTCCTGAACCTGAGCCGGTCCCACTTGCTCAGGAACCTCCTTGCTTGGCCATCACTCACACTGCTCCACCTCGAGCTCGGAAACGTGCTCGGGTACACCCTCCGGAGCGAGGGCATGTCATGCGACTCTGGCACATGATTCGATGCACTCTTGAGGTTTTTCAGGCCCTTACGGCGTCGCCAGATCCGACGTGCTATTCTCAAGCAGTTGGGCATCCGCAATGGCAGGATGCTATGGACCAGGAATTCAATGCCCTGCTCCATAATAATACGTGGAAACTTGTTCCACCGGAGCCGACTATGAATATAATCGGGTGCAAATGGGTGTTCCGTACCAAACGCACCGCTGATGGCTCTGTTGAGCGCTACAAAGCCCGGCTTGTAGCCAAAGGCTTTAATCAAGTGGCCGGGGAGGATTTTTTCGACACTTTTAGCCCCGTGGTGAAACCCACTACGGTCCGAATCCTGTTCTCTCTTGCAATCTCTCGCCAGTGGACTCTACGACAATTAGATGTCCACAACGCCTTTCTAAACGGCCACCTGGCTGAGACTGTATACATGAAGCAACCACCTGGGTATGAAGACCCGACTCACCCTGGTCATGTTTGCCACTTGCAACGCTCCCTTTATGGCCTTAAACAGGCCCCAGGGCGTGGTTCAAGCGGCTTCACGATTTCTTAATATCTGCAGGTTTTTCATCGTCCAAAACAGATGTGTCTCTCTTCTACACCACGTCTGGCAACTCCAAAGTTTATCTACTAGTCTATGTAGATGATATCATTGTAATGGGGCGTGATGCAAGAGCTGTGGATACTCTGCTTACTCGACTTGCAACTACCTTTAAAATCCGGGACCTAGGCAAGCCGAGTTTCTTCTTGGGCATCGAGACTATTGACGCTGAAGGGGGTTTGGTACTATCTCAGCAGCGATACATGACAGATCTTCTCGGCCGTGCTGGAATGACTGACTGCAAGCCACTCACTACTCCAGCTGCCGTCACTAAACCGGTAACCCCGTCAAATGAACCGTTTGACAATCCCACACAGTATCGTCGGATAGTAGGGGCGCTTCAGTATCTCATTATTACGCGTCCGGACCTCTCCTTCTCAGTCAACCGATTGTGCCAGTTCATGCATGCACCGACTATGGACCATTGGGCCTTGGCTAAGCGTGTGTTGCGCTATATCAAGGGTACTCTTGCATATGGATTACGGATCACGTCCTCACCGACTACTACTATACATGTATACTCAGATTCAGACTGGGCCGGTTGCCCTACAGACAGAAAGAGCACAAGTGGTTACGCAGTGTTTCTTGGTGATAATCTTGTTTCTTGGCAGTCCAGGAAGCAACGCACTGTAGCCCGCTCGTCTACTGAAGCTGAGTATAAAGCCTTAACCGACGTTGCGGCTGAGGTGACCTGGGTTGTATCTTTGCTCCGTGAGTTAGGTCTGCATGACAAGCAACCTTCCAGCATTTGGTGTGATAACTTGGGTGCCACGTATCTTTGTGCTAATCCAGTTTTTCACGCACGGACGAAGCATGTCGAGATCGACTACCATTTTGTTCGTGACAAGGTTGCAACCGGGGAATTCATTGTCAACTATGTTTCAACCAAGGATCAGCTCGCCGATGTCTTCACCAAACCGCTTCCAGGACCGCGTTTTGCAGCTCTACGGTCCAAGCTCAATGTGGTTTCTCACCTACCTTGTGCTTGAGGGGGTGTGTTAGTAATGTTATTATTTGTTATTATTATTTGCAATCCTAAGTCTAGTCATACCATGTATTAGAATAAGTCTAATATGACTAGGCTATTAGTTAGGAGATAATAGTGGCTTAGTTTAATATACTCTCCTGTATCTCTGTTCTGTTTGAACTGAATAACATTTGTTTCTCTAATTGTGTGTACATCTTTAATCCCCTCTTCGCTCTTCTAAGTTCTCATTTAAATATTTGCTACTAACACCAAGATTTACATCGACGGTCGCTCTGTCCGGGCTCGTGCCCAAAGTATTGTAGCGATTATTGCTCCCTCCTACTCGTCAAGGCCAAGGCCTGGCTCTTGCCTTGACAGTCGGGTATAAGTCGCGCGTTTAAATGCCATCCATTGTGTGGGCTAGTTGATTCAACAGGTGAGTTGTTACACATTTCTTAGCGAACTCTCAAGGTCAAACTCTCAGGTAAAAAGTAAGAGCTGATATGATCTATCAATTTAGATAATTTAACGGTTAAGAGTTTTTAGAAAAACAAGGGGAACAAGAATAAGATTTGTTTTATAAATATTATAAACTTGAAAATTTGAAATAAATATAAAATTGATCACTTTTGTTTTTATTTGAATCTACCCTTATATTTTTTTTTGAAAATGAATCTACCCTTATATATATATAAAAAGATTATATTCGGATGTTTACCCATCTTTGGGTAATTGAAAACACGCGTGGCTATTGAGCGTGTAGTAAACATGGTAAATGCCCCTGTTCATCCTCAACTATAATAACTGTCAAGCTCCATTTTCCCCCAAACTAAGGAAACCACGGAGAAAGCAGGAGAGGCAAGCAGGCTTAATTGCATATTTGCACCCGCTCTCCTCTCTCTCTCTAACCTTTCACAAAATTCAAACCCTAACCAACTCACTTAGGAATCATCCCAAACATCAAAATACATTCAATAACATCTTCATTTTTTCTCCCAAAAAAAATTGAAAAGAAGATAGAGGCTGAATATAGGGGCAATTAATTATTACGGAGTTTATTGCATTTGCATTTGTATTTGTATTTGGATTGATTCATCATGAAAGTAGACCCAGATAAAAGCTGTGATAATAGCCCGATGGCGTCTTCCAACAGCCCCGGGTCAGCATCTCACAGGAATGGATCATTGTCCTTTCCATTCCCATTCTTTTCCATTGAAAGCTTGTCCTACGGCAAGATCCCCGACGAGCCCTTAAAGTTCACCGTCCTCAAATTAGACGGATCTTCTTTCGGTAATATTTCCTTCGCCCGTTCATTTTAATACAATTTGTTTTTTGCGAATTTACAGATCATAGCTTGGTCAGGGAAGACTTGTAGTAACTGATGAAATTGAACCTTATTATTCATTTTGATCAAACTGAATAGTTCTTGTGAGTGGATTTGCATTTCGTTGTTCTTAAGATGTGAATGATGGATTGATGGATTGAAGGTGGAGTGTTTGATTAAATCGGTTTTGGGGTTTGGTAGATATTGAAGTGACGGGAAACAGAACAGTGGCGGAGCTGAAGAATGCGGTGGAAGCAGCGTTTAGTCATTTGGAAGAAGATGGTGCAATGGAGGTCTCATGGTTTGTGCATTTTTAGTGTAATATATACTTCAACTTGATTTGTATGTTATCAATACATATAATAGCTTAGGTAATGTTAATGTTGGATCATACTATTATTTTGAGTAAAAGACATTTTTGATCCTAGATTTATAGTGGCTTGGACAATTTTAGTCCTTTATAAAAAAATTTGTCATTTTATGGACAAAGTTATTGTGGCGAGGACATTTTTGGTCCCCGTCTATATTTTGTTAGATAACCGTATGAGAGAGGGGAAATTACGTCAATTTAGGCTATCTCTTATATTGTGAGATGGACGATTTTGGTCCCACAACCATGCCTTTACTCTGACCCTCATTTATTTGTAGTTTTGCACTACGAAATGCTCTGCCCACAACCATGCCTTTACTGCAACTTGGACTCTCCGACTCCTTCAAATTATGACCGAGAAGAAAACAAAACACACATAGATATAATAGTTAAAAGGAGATAGCCTAAATTGACGTAATTACCCCTCTCTCAGACGGTTATCTAACAAAAATATAGACGGAGGACCAAAAATGTCCTCGCCACAATAACTCTGTCCATAAAATGGCAAATTTTTTTATAAAGGACTAAAATTGTCCAAGCCACTATAAGTCTAGGACCAAAAATGTCTTTTACTCTATTATTTTTGTTCAAACCATTTAGTATTCCATGTTAGTGAGGAACATTGCATTTTTGGTCATTCAGTTATACCTTTGGTACATGCTTAGTTCTTGAATAATATGTATTCAAAGTGGCGATTTTAGACCCTTGAGACTATTTCTGCCATCAATATGTTACTTAATAAAGTATCGAATTTGGTCCTTTAGAGACTAAACTCACCACTTTGTTCATAACTTAAAAGTTAAAATGGTATCTATATAATTCAGGAACTAAATCTGCACCACAGATATACATGTTTGACCAAAAATACAATTTTTTGTTGTAGAAATAACAAATTGACACTAGTTATAGATTTATAGCTCAGCAGAGATTATTTGAGTTGATTTTTCCCTAGATGTCCATCAAATGTTATCCTCAGCATTTCTGTTTCACTTTACTGCAGGTCACACGTATGGGGGCACTTTTGCTTGAGTTATAATGGCAAGCAGCTGCTCACTGACTCTGACTCTATTGAAAGTCATGGAATCCAGGATGGTGATAAGGTGTGTTACTAATTTAATAAATTAAGAAACTAATATTTGTGCTCCCACTTCTGCAATTACACATTTGTTTAGACTCATGCTTATAAGAAAACAAAAATGCTACTACTTGTGAGTGTGAGTACAAATGTCATTATTCAATAAATTATGGTCATGTTTGCTAATATAAGTTAGCTTATCAATCAATTTAACTTATTTAATTATTATTAGTTATTTGATTTGGTTAAATAATCAATATGAGTGTTTAATTAATTAACTTTTTGTAATAATTTATTGCTCCAAAATGCTAAAATTCAAATACTGCTCAAAGCAACCTTTTCTATCAACTTTTTGATAAAGGGGGTGTTTGGTTATTGGCTGATCAGCCAAATTTTAGCTGTGACCAAGTTTGGCTGTTTGACCCACCAATAAGTTGTTTTGAAGTGTTTGGTAAATGGTTGATTTGGCCAATAGCCAAAAATTGAAAAGCTAATGAATGTAGCTTTTTGGATCAGCTGGTTGGAATCAATTATATATTTACTATTTTATCCTTGGGATTCAATGTGATTTGCTTTAAAATGGGTGATGGGTTTGCCATTTTATAATAATAATAATAATAATAATAATAATAATAATAATAATAATAATAAATTGGGTTCTGGTTTTAGACATTTGACAATAATAATAATAATAATAATTATAATAATAATTATTATTATTATTACTATTATTATTATTATTATTATTACATTAAATCATTTTAAAATATTAAAATTAAAAATAATTAATAAAAATTATTTTAGAATATAATTTAATAAGAGTTAAATAAACAAAAATAATTAACTTATGTCCATAAAAAAAGTATAGATGATATCCAAATTTTATAATTATTTATTAATAAAAGTTTATCATCTTGTTATATTTAAAGATTAAAATAACACAATATACACATACCCTTAAATGTTACATTCAATCAGCTACTAGTAAACAGTTAATTTACCAAATAATTTTTTTTATAACCAGCTAATACAACCAACTGGTCAAACCAGCTAACGCAATCAGCCATCAACTACTAGCTAAGCCAATCAGCTATCTGTTGTTAGCCAAACACCCCCAAAATTAGTTTGCATGTAATTAACTATCAGCTAACATCTAATTTACCAAACACTTTTTTACAATCAACTAAAGCTATTAATTAGTCAAACCCACTAATCCAATCATCTAACAACAATTTACCAAACACCACTAAACTTTGTTTTCCTTTTCTATATGATATTTGACTTGTGTCTATGGTGGTAGCTGTAGTTAACAAGGATTGGCTCAACTAGTGACAAGACGTATTATATAAGATTTTATAATTGTATTTTTAGTCGTCACAAGTTCAAATCTCTTTGAAAACAAATTATTTTTTTGTTCATGAGCATCCATTGTTAACATTTGATCCTATGAGAGTCCAGAATTAAAGCACATGCTCCACCCCCTCTTAAATGTGTGATTCGGTTACTTTTGACGGGCTCTAAGCAAGACCAAGACTTTTGGCATGGGATTCTCTGACACCAATTGAACTATGTGTTCCATCTCAATTAAAAATTTAAATTGATAATTGGATTGCACATATATGTTTATATATATATTTATGCTCAACATCCAGGCAATGCAAAGAGTTAAATGTTCTCAGAGTACAGTACAGGTTGTTCTTTCAACTTCTGCACTTCAGTTTGTCCATATACTAGGAAGAAGCCTGGACTAGAACATATCAGCAATTCTTAAACACACATTCTTCTGTCAACTTTTGCACTTCTGAATTTCAGTGTGTCCATATATATATACTTAAATTGATCAACATTTGCATTACTTGATGAAGAACTCTTGTGTTGCAGCTTGCTTTTACTCGGCAAGAAACCGTCATTCAGCCAGTAGAGAATGATGAATCAGAAGGAGAGGACTCTGATGTGTAGGCTATATATATATATATATATATATATATATACATATATACTTCCTCGCTCGCTCATTCTCTTATTACCATGCACATGCGCCTCGAGTTCATACTCGATCTACATACTCTCTTGAAATTATACATATATATATATGTGTGTCTTGCAGATCTAATGGCACTGGAGATACACTAGCCGAATGCAAAGAAAGCGACGAAGGAAGTATAGAGGGCGATAGAGGTGAGCGCGATGAGAACAAGGAAGAGGGTGTTGGGAAGAGCAGATTGGTTTACTTCTTAAGAAAGTGGTTTTCGTACAGTAGATTTCGAGCTAAAGAGCAAGGATGGAGTGAAATGCACCAAGAATATGCCCTGGTTTCACAGGAGATTTTGTAAAAATGTTGCAGAACTAACTTAAGTAATAAACTGGTTTCTCCTTTCTCAAACACAGACTTGGAACGCATGCAGGTCATCATGGTAGGTAGTTTTTAATTTGTTGGTCGTGGGATATGAACGAAGCTGCCGGTCGATGAAACCATCTTTTAATTTATTATTGTTCACCCTTCATTCTTTAACTCTTTTCCTATTCAATTCAGAGTTGTCTTCCAAATGTATAATGTTGGAGAGTTCCACAATGATGTACTCCGATCCTCTGACAACAAACAATAATTGTTATGGGTTTAATCTTATGACAAAATTGGAGGGAGAAGTGTAAGATTTTTCAAGTAGATGATAGTTTAATTTATCGTCTTTGAGTAAAGTTTATCTTTTTTACTGTCCGGATCCTTATAATTCTTTTGCTTGTTTTCATTAAGACTTACAAAATCTCTTCTAAATATCAATGGGAAATCTTCCCCACATTTTCTTTTTTTCCGCAATATACTTACTTCGAGTCTTCATGGTTTGCCTATATTCATGATAAATTAGTTTAATTTGACATAAATTGTTAAATTCTATTAATGCTCTGCTAATTTTTCTGTTATATTTTAAACCGTTTTTATTTTTATTTTAATAAAATTTTTAGGGGGTGTATTCAATCATGACTTTTGTAGAGTTTTAAAGACTTTTAAAATGATAGATTTTAATAAACTTTGATGGATTTCATAGAGTCATTCAAAACTTTTTAAAATTTTATAAGACTCTATAAAAGTCTATATAAAAAACATTCATAGACTTTTATCAACTTTTTATTTTAAAAAGTCTACAAAAGTCATTGAAATTCTAAAATGAATACATCCTTATAAACTTTCAATGATTTTGATTTTTATCATTTATAATTTTCTTACAAAAAATTTATAATATATCATAAAATTTTCTTATTATGTAGTTCTTCATCCACATCAACATTCTCAACATTATTATTTGTTAATATTACTTATATATGTTAATTAATATATATATATATATATATATATATATATATATATATATATATATATATATATATATATATATATATATATATATATATATATATATATATATATATATATATATACTTGATATATTGCTAGCCATCACGCAAAGAACTGTTATTTGCAATAACAATTTGAGACTACGAACAACAACAAGGTGTTACTGTTTGCAACCCCAAATTGTTATTGCGAACAGTAGTTCGCTATTCGTAGTAACTTGTTGTTAAAAAAAGAAAAGAAAATATATATTACGAATATAAACATAAAAAGAATAAAAATAAAAATATATAAGTATTTATATGAATATTATGAAACATATACTACAATTTGATAATGAAAAGTTTGCTTTGTTCATGTTTAGAGAAAGTTAGGGATAAAAAATTCATAGAAAAAATAAAAATTAATATAAACAAGCAATAATGAAGTAAAAATAATATTATTTCGAATTTTTAGAGGAAGATTGTAAAGTTTAGGAGAGAGAAAAATTGATAGAGTTTAGGATGAGGAAAATATAGGATAATGAAGAAAAAAGTAGATTTATTAAATTTAGATAGGTTTATAAAGTTTAAATTGGGAGAAAAAATAGAGTTTAAATAGAGAGAGAAAACATTCAAAGTTGTTAGAAAGAAAATTTTGAAATATGGGGGTTGATGATTGGGTTTTAACTATTTATATTTGAGAAGAAAAAGTCTATAAAAGTCTTAAAATTAAAAAGTCTACAAAGTTCATAACTTTTTGAATACCACGTGACTTTTAAAGACTCTCTAAAAGTCTTAATCGAATACCACACGACTTTTAAAGACTCTTTAAAAATCTTAATTGAATATCTCCTGACTTTTAAAGACTCTCTAAAAGTTTGAATTGAATATCCCCAAACTTTTAAAGTTCATAAAAGTTTTTAAAACTCTATGAAAGTCATGAATGAATACACCCCCTTAATTTTAAGTACAATAATAGATATAACATTAAATTTTAATTATACAAAACATAATGTGTCATTTGCAAATACAAGAAAAAGAATACAAACCCTATGGGACCAGATCGGGTGGGCCCCTAGTATTCTACCTTTGGCTCAAGAGTTGGCCCAACTTATAGGTGCCTAAATGGCCCAACAGACATAAGATCGCAAATTATGCCGTGGAAACGTGCTCACCATGCTTGGTGAACACGCTTCCAAACGACGTCGTTTTTGGCGTCGTTTAAAAAAAAAAAAAAAAAAAAAAAACACTGCTCTATTAACGGCGTTAGGAAGGCAGTTATGATCAGACAACTCTTTGCGTTTGATTATTTCCTATTCGCAAATCGCTGAAGGCAATTGTGATCCGACATTCGCGATTCTTTCCTATTCGTGATGGAGGAGACGATGGTTCGAGGAGAAGATTCAACCGATATGATTTCTGCGATTCCAGGTTGCGTTTGATTTTATGCGTTTGATTTCGTTTGATTTATGAGATCATGGATTGTTGAAGATTTAGTTATTTTTATTGATATTTGTTCAGTATCTATGCAGTTTGAATGTTCATAATGGCCGTAAATGTGTATTAGTTCCATGTTTCTGTTATGAATTTTACAAAATGCAATTATGTATTTTCTGTTACAGAGTTATGAATTTTGATACTCTGTTCATGCATGTGATATGAATATTCATAATGTAATAGTAATATGTCCATAACATATTAACTGGTGTGTTACACTGCTTGCATATACTCAGTGAATGAAGATTGTGTTGGTGATTCAATAAGCAATGATCAAGCAGAGTTAAACATTGACATTGATGGCTCGTCTTCAAGTCCAGGTTCTTTTTATTAGTTGGTGTATCATGAATGTTGTTTCTTGTAGGTGTAGGGACTGATTCATGGTGATTATATGCAAATTGAATGTTGTGATTGGTATTAATAATCTGTTCACGTTATGAATTTACAGTTTGAGGTTATGAATTTTCCGTTATGTTATTATGAATTTTCCATATGAGGTTATGAATTTTATGTTATGAGGTTATGCATTTAATGCCATGAGTATCTATGCAACTTTGAATGCTCATAATGTCACAAATGTTATTGATATCCGGTTTTTGTTATGAACTTTCTTATATGATGTTATGAATTTTATTCTTTGTGATTATGAATGTTCTCACATGAGATTATGAATTCTATAGTGTAGCATATTACATTCATTATAGGTGAAATCCACATTCATAGTTTAGTAGTTGGTATAGGTGTGGTTATATTTTTGTTGCAATTGCAGTTGATGAAGACTTGGTGGGTGTTGTAGTAAGAAATGTTGACGAAGCTTTTGAGTTATATAATGGATATGCATACAGAGTTGGTTTTAGTGTGAGGAAAGGCCAACAACGTTATAAGGCATCTACTAAGTCAATTCAGATGAAGAGGTTCTTCTGTGCTAAGGCTGGGTATAAGCAGAAACCAAACAGTGGTGTTAAGCTTTATTCAAAGATTGATATGAGGACTGGATGTGGTGCATTTGTTCAGTTTGATGTGGGGGGTGATGGGATGTGGACAGTTACAAAACACTTGAAAGAGCACAATCACGAGTTATGTTCATTTGGCAAGAGTCATCTGCTTCGGTCGCATAGAAGAGTGGGAAACAATCAGCTTGAATATTTAAAAGACATGAAGAGTAGTGGTGTTGCATTGGCGGATGGTATGAGGTTTTTGAAACATCAGTCAGGGGGCTCTCCATTGGTTGGCTTTACCAACCGCGATGCTTACAATTCAATGGCTTCTGTGAGTTTGAAGTGTTTGGATGGATCGGATTCAAATTCTTTGGTTGAGATATTCAGGAGGAGGCAATCTAATGAGGCTGATTTCTTTTTTGATTTCGAAGTTGATTTGGATGGAAGATTGTGTAGTTTTTTTTGGAGGGATGGTCAAATGAGAAGGGATTATGAGGTGTTTGGTGATCTGTTAGTGCATGATACAACATACCGCACTAACAAATATGATATGATTTGTGGTCCTTTTGTAGGGATGAACCATCATTGCATGAATGTAATGTTTGGTTGTGGTTTTTTGATGAATGAGAGGATAGAGTCATTTGCGTGGTTGTTTAGAGCGTTTTTAAGATCCATGGATGGCAAGTGTCCACAGACTATCATGACGGATCAATGTTCAGCTATGGCTGCTGGCATTTCCATGGTGTTTCCTACATCACGCCACCGTCTTTGCATATGGCATATTGGTGAGAATTCGAAGAAGCATATTAAGGCATTGAGGAATCATAAGGATTTTCTGGATATGTTTAATTGTGTGTTGAAATACACCGAGACTGAAGCTGAATTTGAGGTTTACTGGACAAGGTATGTTATTATGAATTTACATTATATAATTTTGAATTTTCTGTCATGTCATTATGGATTTTCTGTTATGTCATTATGTATTTTCTGTTATATGATTTATGAATTTTCTAATATGAGATTATGAATTCACAGTTATACAATTCTGGATTTCCTGTTATGTCATTATGTATTTTCTGTTATGTCATTATGTATTTTCTGTTATATGATTTATGAACTTTGTAATATGAGATTATGAATTCACAGTATTCAATTATGTATTTTCTGTTATGTCATTATGTATTTTCTGTTACATGATTATGAACTTTGTAATATGAGATTATGAATTTTCAGAATATGAGTAATAAACATGTGTTTTAACCTTTTCAGGATGGTTACAAAATATAATTGTCATAAGAATACATGGCTAGAGAAGCTTTATGACTGTAGGGAGAAGTGGTGTCCAGCGTTCAACAAGGATTATTTCTCCGGGGGTATTTTATCTTCGCAAAGGAGTGAAAGCACAAATCATGCAATTTCTAGGAGGCTGTCCAAGACTGCTGGTTTATGTGATTTTTATTCATCATTTGTGAGTGTTATATCTGAATGGAGAAGTAAGGAAAATGGCGAGGATTTCCGGTGTTCTCAAGGAGTACCCGCCATGATGTTGGATCATGTGAAACTCCTTTCACATGCTAGAGAGGTTTATACAATTGAGATATATTTTTTGTTCGAGGAACAATTTATGAAAGGTAGCTCTTGTTATCAAGAAATGGTGTTGAACGATGGTTGTAAGTGCAAGTATCACGTGTGGCGACCAGACATAGATATCATAAGGCATGAAGTAACCTTTAAGGCAATCAATTTGGATATATGTTGTAGTTGCAAGCTGTTTTCAGAATTGGGAATACTTTGCTGCCACTGCTTACGTATACTTCATGTGCACTGTGTTTCCAGTATTCTCGATAAATACATTCTAAAAAGATGGACTAAAAAGGCTGT